TTGTAGAACTATTTTGATGTTAGCTGTCATCATGTGGTAGTTGATGCCATTAACAGCTTTGTAAAAACTCGAGATTTAGTTTTCTAAGCAACCTTATGTCATCTCTCCAATGTGTGTTAACATTGGCAGTAGGCCAGTGTTTCCTAACACTTCTAGGATTGCATGAAAAGAAGTGAAATTTTGAGGTGGGTGTGAGCTGTGTACATACTTGAATGTCAAAATTTTTGCATATGCTTATGACTGGTAATGTGGGAATAAATGTTATATTTTGTTATTATATAAAAATAGTCTTCAAAGACTAAAAGATATGAAAATGTAGTATTAGATACTCAATTCTTTTACGTTTCTTTGGAGATACTTAATTTTTAGTTTATTTTAATTATTCCCAAGATAGCTGAAGTCCTCTGAGAAGGGAGTGACCGAAAGTAGGAACTGAGAAAGCTTCCAAAGAAAGTGTCTTTAAGATACTTATTTTTTTTTTAATTATGCTGATGTAGACTCTCCATCTTTCCTTTCTGACTCTCTCCATGTGGGATGTCGTGTTCTGACTGTTTCCTTATTCTGCAGTAGTTATGGTCTTAGCAAGGAATATTCACAGAAGGGAAGTTTTCTGTAGCCATGAAGGTATAAGGACAAAGATGGGACTGAGTAAAAATGGCTTGTCTTTCATACCGTCTGGTATAGTTCAGAAAAAGTAAGTAGAGCTTTCAGGCTCTCGAAGTCATCTTCAGACCTTAAATAAAATCAGCAGTTATTATCTTTATCTGAATACTTGCTAGCTGAAGCACTTAGAATTGCTTTAAAGCAGCTGTGGCTTCTAATTTAGACCTGAAGAGGTCTTTCTTACCTTTCATATTTTGTAGGAGAAAAAGTATGGCATTTGGTGTTTTAGTTAATATGCTCTTTGTCTATGAATGAAGAAATCAGGGATCTTTTCTTTAAGAAATAAATAATTAAAAAAAAGGTTGACACTCCTGATATGAAGTCTGGGAACTCTTATTTAATGATGCTTATTCCCAGTCTGGACTAGTTGGAGGAAAAATAAGTTAATTATTGTGATACTTTGAAGACCTTAGGACCATGTGTGTCTTGAGTAGTTCTTCCACTCATTATCATTGCATACCTATACGGTGAGACTGCAGGGATGCTGTATAGAGTTGGTATGGGTATATTTTAGAGCTCTATGTTGTGGTATGTGTGAATTAGGTCAATGACTTTACAGTTTTTTGTCACAAGACATCAAGAAGAAAGAAGTAGAGCAAAAAAGAAATACTGTTAATATAAGAAAAAATGAAATTTCTTTTACTCTCTATCTGCATAGTCTTAATGGTTGACTACTAACTTGGGGTCCTGAGAACACTGACAGCTTAATGTTCTGAAGATATTATCTGTATATATGTGTAACGGAAACTGTGATGTTGTTGGAAAACTGATCACACATTCACATAAGCCACTAGTCTAAAATGCCTCTTTTTAATGTTTGTGTGTATATTAGCGGATCTGAGGTTGGTTTGGATTTGGGTTCTTTTGGGGGGGTGTTCTTGTGATTTATTTTTTTTCCTACATTTTACAAACATCCAAAAGAATAAGAAAAATGAAGAAGCAAATAAATTGGGGGAGAGGATGAATAATATGGCGTGGCACTTAAGGACGTGGTTTAGTGGTGGATTTGGCAGTGTTAGGTTTACAGTTGCACTTAAGGGTCTTTACCAACCTAAATGTTTCTATGATTCTATATGTATCCTTTTGCTCTATGCTTATTCTTAACTTATTGCTGTAATTAAATAATACAGAGTTTTGAGGAGGACTCTTAGAAGTTATCCGTCTATGTACATCAGCTGTAAAATTTCATACTTAAGTACATTAAGGATATTTAAAGAAAACATGAAAGACAAGGATTTCAGAACAAAGTTTTAAAAACTGAAGAACAAATGTGCAAGTCATCTATGGATCCCAATATTGCAACATCCATAAAGTTTAAAATCTGTCAAACTTCAGCTGCTTTTTACATGTGATGATATCAATATTAAGAGGTACTTGAAACTTAGTTTGAGTTTAAGCTTTTTTACTGTTGTTACAGTTTTCAGATAAGTACTGAAAAAAAAACCAAGAAAGTGCCAGTTCAGACTTAAACATTTCAGTATTATGTTCTTTCCTCCAGAAGCAAAAGTTGCAAACAGGAGAGTATATGTATATTTGAAAAAGAAAATCAGTAGTTGAACTCTGTAGTAGTATGAGGTATTTCTAGATTGATTTCACTGGACACTTGTAAATTAGCATGGACACAGCACTCTGTAGTATTCAGTTCTGCAAGGAGTATTGATTTGTCAAGTCATAGGATAAATGAAAATACCAGCAGAAGACAATGTTTTTTTGGTCTCTGGAATACCACAAATGTACAAGGAAGTTGTTTCAAAATGATGAAGGTTAATACTAATTAAGAAAAAGTCAGATTGCAATTTAATCTTAGTCGTAGTGGTTCTGTACTTTCTTCAAACACTATAAAACTGTATTCAGTAACAGCATTGTTTTTATTTGGCCATTTCTGCATTGTCATGCAACATATTGGTCACACATACTTTCCTCATGTCCGGAAGTACAATGAGGTGCATACTGCATCTAATATATGTGTAGAGATGTTATTTGTCATGTCATTGTATTGTTACTTAACTCCAAGCCTTAAGTAGTTTCTAACCACTGAAATTCTTCCAGTATCTTGCTCTCTGAACTCAGACTTTGGCTTTAATAGAAGCAGTAATTTTGTCAGTGATGCTACTGTATCCCCACCCCTTCAAGTCTCCACTGAAAACTGTACTCTCCTCTTAACTGTGTAGAGGAGTAGGACATTACCTTAAATAGTCATGAACTTTTTCTTACTGTTTGCAGGCTTATTGCTAAATAAATCTAGTAAATCTCAGCATAACATTATGAAATCAGATGTATATGTCTTTTGGCTGATACAAGTTTGGCAGTATTAAGCTAGACTTCTATGTATTCTTCTAACGACTGATGTCATACTGATAACCAAGGGCATCGCATTCCAAAAATAACTAGAAGAAACAAAAACAGTCTGAAGCTATTCACCATCTTGTCCTACTTAACGCATATTACCTGGTTCTGTTTCCTTGGTCAGGCTTTTTTAAACTGAATCAAGAAGAGTATGAGGAAGAACAACCTTTTGCTGAGGTTGTCACTTGGCTAAGCTCAAAATGACAGCCTTTAAAAATAGCTACTGTTAAAAAGTTCATGAAGTCCTTCTTGTTCAAGATACTACCATTAAATGAAAGACAACCTTTTAGCTAAAAGAAGTAGTATGAAGTGATTATAAGAAATACTTACTTTCTCTTTTAATTTTCATGAGATTGCTTTAATCTTTTCAGCCAGCTTCCTGAAGTTTAGTTTTCTGAATTGTAGTATGTTTAGAAAACAAGTGTGCTATAATCCAGAGATTTTAATTGAGCGATATTTTTCCTCACAACATGACTGAAAACTATAACTTTTAGTTAAAGGTGTCTGTCACTGCCTTCTCAGATCTAGTATTTTGCTGTATATACGCTGATATATTTGGATAGATTGTACTAAAATGTATTTCAGTAATCTGTGACTGTCTTTGTCCTTTTAAAATTTGACAGAAATAATGATAAAATATTTCTATAATAAAGATTAGGAAAAAGGACTAATTTTTTTTAAAAAAGCTTATTTATCTGTTTTGTGTAATTATAAGCATAGGTTTCAGACTTTAAAAAGTAGATAGTAAGTAATCAAGGAAATGTTTACAGGCTAAAAATTTTCATTGAAACACCTTGAAAATCAGTGTATGTAAAAATACGTTTACATGTGTTGCCAACATAGTAATGTATACTACTTAGGTTACTTAGTTACATATTAAAAAAAATACTTTTTGTGTTGTGCCACTGAGTGGTAGAACTTTATTTCAGATTTTCGATCCATTATTTTGGTTGAGTTGTTCACTAGCTTTCCATATCTAACAGTATAGCATTAACTTCCAGTTTTATTAAGGTCTTATGTCATAAAAATCAGTCTTTTTTTTTTCTCTTTTTTTTTCTTTTTAAAAGCCTAAGACTGTTTGCTTTATGCCTACATAGAATACGCAATAAGTCCTAAACCAGAGACTACATTTTGACATGAAGATCAATTTATGTGTTCTTTGACATGATCTGGGGACATTCTGTGGCCATTCTCTCTACTCCCGTGATTCTTGTCTTGCTGTTTTCTATTTCCACACTCTACTTCACACTGTCGTGTATGCCTTTTCAGTCTACAGTGTAGACCATTCATGATTTGGTGTATTGGGTATATTCTGCCTTACCTTCAAATACCTAATGCATGAGATTTGTGATTCTTGTCATTTATGTTTGGGCAGGCACTGCTATATTAAATATTCTTGCACCTTCTCTACAAGCAGAGAGCCTGAAGCAAGTTTAGCCTCTGCTGGTTAGTATTATTTTTCCATAGCTATGAGTTAATACTATAGAATAACCTGTATTCCAAATCCCAGACTTCGAGTTTTTTGACATAGCATTAGTGTAATAGACTTTTTTCACTAATGGCAGTTTAATTTTTTTTTTTTCTTAGGGGCATATGCTTTCTGTTCCTGATGGAAACTAAATTTCCTGCTTTCAGAAAACAGTTAGTTTGGCAAAGCTGAAGACAGAAGTAACATGTCCTCTCACTATAAAATGTATATATGATTCTATATGTGTCTATGAAATGCTGGTAAATGTGATCCCTTAGAGAAAATCTTTACTACTGAAGTCTTGAGCGACATGCGCTATTTGACTCCAGATTTGCTACTAATTCTTGACCCTCTTCTGCTATCATGCATAGAAAAGGGGTTCTTATAGGTTCTTACAGAGAAGGGACGAATTTGTATGTGTACAGAAATAAAGAAAATTATCTCATCTGGGAAGCATAAAAACAACAGTAGTTTGTCAAAGAGTTGAAAATAGCCTCAAGTTTCTCTTCAGTAACTGATTTTAATGAAGAACGGTACTCATATTTTACTGAAGTCTCAGACTGTGCCTGCTTGTCTTGGAAGACTTGTGAAGCGGAGCCCTTCTCCGACGCTTTGTCTGTCGATTGCCTTGGAAGGGAGTTGTATTTTTCTGTCGCCCTGTTACCGTGGAGGCCACGGCGTGCTGCTCTCCTGGGTCCTGAACGTCGAGCGCAACGGTGTGCGGGCACCTGCCGCTCTCCGTGGTGCTGAACGTGGGGCCGCCGCCACCTTTCTTTTTCCTTCACTAGCACTGATGTCAAAAGCAAGTAAGTTTTGCTTCCTGTTATGCAAACCAGTACATTTCCCTGCCAGCAAGATCTCTTTAGAGGCCCAACTTACATAACTACAATTGCCCAACCCTGTCAGTGTGGTGAGCTGTAGCATTCATGATGCTGAACGCTATGAAGGTAAGTGTAGGAAAAAAAAAATGTGTGCCATGCTTCCCAAAAGCCTGACAAAAAGACAAAGAGGTGAACACCTAAAATGACCATTAGTATTTTTAAAGGCGTTCTGTCAGTGACGAAATTAAGAAATGCTTGAGAGTATTTAAATGAGCACCATTTTTTCATATTTTCAAGACTCTAAAACAGGGGCTCAAGTTTGATGTCCTAAAGCTGACTTAGGGAATATACAACACAAAATTTGATGATTTCCTTCAGGGTGTATACTTGTTTTATTTCTGTTCTGAAGTAATTGAGTTCTTACATTTTAAGGAGAAGACTTTGGGGAGACCTAATAGCTGCCTTCCAGTACCTGAAGGGAACCTACATGAAGGCTGAGGAGGGTCTTTTTACAAGAGTATCCATTGATAGGACAAGGGGAAATGGGTTTAAGTTGAAGGAGAACAGATTTAGATTAGATCTTAGGAAGAAATTCTTCAGTACAAGGGTGGCAAGACTTTGGAATAAATTGCCCAGAGACGTTGTGGCCGCCCCCTCCCTGGAGGTGTTTGAGGCCAAGTTTGACAGAGCCTTGAGTAGCCTGATCTAGTTGAGATGTGTCCCTGCCCATGATAGGGAGGTTGGACGAGATGATCTCTAAGGTCCCTTCCAACTTAGGCTATTCTATGAGTCTATGAATTTTAAAAGCTGGAAATGCAGTTGCCCTGTCATAAAATTCATTAAAGAAATGAATTCTCTTTCTGGATGTTGCCCAAAATATCTTGGATTTGAAAGTCCTTGGAGTTCTCAAAAGAAGAGGAACTTGCATCTTGAAATTATATACTGCTTAAAAACATTCATTTTGTTGATTAATCAGAAGCAGTGATAGGGACCTGTAAGGTGATTGGTTACCTTTTACCTTGTTTCTCCCTGATTCTCCACTATAGGTATTGACATGCGGAAAAGACTCTATAACTCGAGAAGTTATAAAGTAGGTGTGTTCTAATAAGCGCGCTGGTGCATGGAGGATCTCCAAAGACATGCACACCTGAACGATGCAGTTACCTTGGTTATATTCAGTGAAAGTTACATATTCATTAGACGCCTATACATACTCATGAGCTACCCTGAAAAAGGCACTCAGTTCCGGTGGTTGGCTGCTCCTCCTCTTGATGCTTGCGCAGTGTCTCCTGGTGGTCATGGGCAGGGTCTTCAGGGATGAAGGCTGTAGGTCTTCCTCCTAATGAACTTTTCACCTTAGTCCCAAAACTGTTCTCAGCACTTCTCGTAGGGCATCTTGTCCCCAGATTTCACAAGGGGCCTCGTCACCGGATGGTCCTTGTCAGATACCCCTTATCACTAGTGTTCTTGTCAATTATCTTTGTTTTATGTTCTTTTACAACTTGTGCTAAACAACTCACCCTATCTTGTGTACCATAGGCCTCTGACTAATTGCCACCGAACGACCCTGAGAGGTTGTTTCTCGTGGGATGCTTCTTCTCCTATCAATTCTCCTTCACAGCTCACGGGATGCTACTCTCCCCATCAGTATTGCTACGTTCTGTTTTAGGAAGCTTTGAGCTTAATATCACTCTACTGAGAAAAAGTGTATTTGTTTATATATGAAACAGTTCTTGTAGAGTGAAGATCTTTGCTATGTTGTTTGTTTGTTTTGCCGAGGGCAAACTACTGGTATCTCCTCAATGCAGTCACTTGCTCAGCTCTGAGAACTTTCCAGTGCATTGTTTCTCAGAGTCTGAATGCCCCTAAAAAGATGCAATATAGACATACTACCTTAAATTCCTCTAGAGGCCTCTATACTTGAATGGCTCAAATCAAATATGAAAATAATCAAGAAATGAACCTATGAAGAAATGTAGCACAAAGGTGAAAACACAACTTGGAGTAGCCCTTTGGCCTATCCTGTTTTTCTTGCAGCAGTCTAAGGTGTAATCATGCAACAAATGTGGCAACTATGTTCTGGATAGATGATTAGAGGGTAAATGGGGTTCTGTCTCACCAGGAGGCAAATTGGGCCATTTGTACATCTGTCACTAAGTCTTTTGGATTTTTTAAAACTCCTTTCTTGTTTTGTTTTGTTTGTTTTTGTTTTCTTCAGTACGGTTCTCAAGATTTAACTGTCTTTGGAAATTGCCTAAAGCTAACTGTTGTACATATCTGTAATGGTTTTTTCTGACCTAACCTGGCTGATAAAGGTTAACATCCGAAAACTGAAAAGGGGTTTTGATTGGGTATTGGTACTGCCACACTTCTCCCAGCACAAGGACATTGAGCTGCATTTGCAAGTGTATGCTAAACTGTAGTCTGTGACAGGAGAAAGTAGTTGATTCAGGGTTTATGGGAATGAACATCTAAGCTATTCCTGTTCATTAGAGGGCTGTGAAAGACTATTTTTTCAAGTGTCTTTTACCACAGTGGAATTTTAAATCATGCGTCATTTTTGGTCAACTCTTCTGTGTTCTTTCCTATGAAAATAAGCCCACTTGAAGTTATTTGATTAATTTGATTTTTCTAATTTAAGTCACTGATTTATTGCTTGAAAACTCAGGGATCATAATGTGTAGCTGGTCTTTTCTTATATGCTTGTGTTTATCTCTATAAATGGTAGGTCATCTGCTCTCTGAGAGTCCCAGTCTGTATCAGATGTTGAAACAGATAAATTTTTTGTTGGCTACACCTTCACCTCAGTTTGTACCCTCCTTATGCTTATTTTCTAAAGAGAACTGTATTGCTTTCAAACAAAAATCATGTAGTAAATTGCAGAGCCTATATTTAGGTAACTTTTGTCTGTTCTCAGGCACCTGGGACATGTGGAAGCTGAAGCTAAAATGCAGATTTGACTTCTCGATGTGTATAGGGTATGGAAGGTATGGTTTAGAGGGCTTCAACATTGACAGCTCATTTGATATCTTGTTTTCTGTAGTGTAGTAACTAGCTGTGTATCTTCTGTGTAATGTAGCTTAAAAGCCTTGCAAGGCAGCTTGTATTACTTTCCATCCAGATGTTAACAAAGCATGGAAACTTCAGTTTTCTTTTTTTTTTTACATGGCTTGAAAAACTCACAATGATCAGGTTTCTTTAGCTGGTGTTGGTTCTTGTTTGTTTATTTGTTTGAATGTAGTAGAAAGTCTTAATTCCTGCTAACTGCAAGGAGATTTTTGCGTGCTTACTGCTTCTGTCGTCAGTACATTACTGTTTTTTTCGTTCTTTTTGGAATGTTTATGTTTGGGTTGGGGAGAATGTTCCTTCATTATTATGATACACTGGTATTGCTAATGTTCCATTTTAATGATGCTTCAGTGAAGTCACTGGAAACTGCACTGAATTCTAGTGCATTTTATGTCCTGTTTCTGTGATTGAATACTGCCCAAAATATAGGAGGTATGTTAAGAACTTAATGAACCCCTATGAAATTCTAAGTGCAAGCATTTGTTTGACTTTTTATCTATAGAAAGAGACATTTCTGAAATGTATGTAGTTCTGCTGGTATGCATTGACCTTGTTTATTTTTAGTGTTCTTTTTGTTGTAAATAACCTTACACTTCCATGAAATAGATGTTGTTTTGGAAGCTCTGTTGTACACAGTCTTTCTCTCCCTCAAACTATAGACAGAAAACCATGGAAGCTTTCTTAAAGTATAGATAAGAATTAGGAAAAGGATCTGCTAAAAGCAGAACAGAATGTTAGGTACCAAAATCTGTCCTCTTTATCAGAACCATTCCTGACTCTGTGATAGGAAGAGTGCATTAAGTTCTGGAGACACTTGTCACCATCCCTGGAGGTGTTTAAGAAACGGGTAGATGTTGTGCTGAGGGACATGGTTTAGTGGTGTTGATAGGCCTAGGACAAGGATTGGACTCGATCTTGAAGGTCTCTTCCAACTGAAGCTGTTCTGTGATTCTATGATTGCTTTCTAAGAGTGCTATTAAAAAAAAAACAGACAACCCCCCCAAAAAAAAACCAAACCAAAAAGCATAAAGACTATTTGCTAGCTAAATTTGATATTCAGCTTTGAAAAAGTATTTCAAAACTTCAGCAAATTTATTGTCTACTGCTAAATATTTTAGTTTGCCAAGCAAATTGTTCTATACTGTCTCTTAACAAATTAAGACATCATTTTTAATGCTTTGGAATTAAAGGTGATGTATTGAAAGCTATATTCTACATAGAATAGTCTTAAAATGTAGTAAGAGTGTCTTGGTAATTTATGAGTGTGTTCTTTGTATATAGCCTGTGTAGGTAATTCTTAAATTTTTCTCTTAGCTAATCATGTATTTTGCAATATGACACCAATTTGGCTCACTTTTTGTTTCCCTTTTCATATAAAAATTGAAGTTTTTACAGTAGTGGTCAGAACTAGGCACGTTTGTTTGAGAGAATATACAAACTGACATGTGCATGATACAGACCTGTACTGAACTTGAGGCTGGAGGCCTTGAGCTAATTATTTCATGTGAAGTTGCGCGCAAATGCTTAGTAATTTTTTTTTATGCTAGTCTACTTATTTGATTTATATGCATTCCTTGTTTTCAGATTGTCACCATTTTATTAACTGCTCTATTTAATGAAAAATATAATTGATGTATGATGAAGAAAGAAAACTTGATTTTCCTTGAGGTAGTCTTTCTCTATTATATAAGCAATCGCAGATTTTCCTTTTAGGATAGCTTGTCACAGCCAGAACCCGAGGTCTTGATGAAGATCCTCATTTAACTGACTCATTGAGAATGGGAAATTTTTGTTGGAGATGAAAAATTCTGAACAGTAGGTGTTGTAAAAGAGGCAAATCTAGCAAATCATTACAAGTAAGTGTTCTTAAGCTTTTTGTATTCTAGCTGCCAAACAGAAGCAGTAGTAGAAGTCTTTATTGCAATTGCATGAGATAGCTTTTTAAGAACATTCACTACTGTAGCTCTCCAGAAGATTATATCTCCAACCATATAACTTGAACAAGAAAATACAGGTATTGGACTGTTAACGGACTGCTCAGGTTCAGAAGCCACCAGATTCCACTTACTGTATTTATGGTATGAATGAAAAAGTGATGATTTAGAACAAAGCAATATAATTGTGTGCTTGTCATGGTTCAGGCCGACTGGGACAAAAAACCATGCAGCCTCCAACTCACTCCTCCTCCTACCCCCATTTCCACAGTGATGTGGAGGGGAACAATTCAACTAAAAAAGCTCAAGGGCTTGAGATTAAGGATAGAGAGGGTAATAACCTACCATTTAAGGAGATGAATAAAGAACCAGAGAGATGTGGAGAGAAAATCATAGATTAAATTCGCCACCACCAGTTATGTAGTAGGGTAGTGAGAGGAGTACGTCAGTAAATATGACCTGATCTTATATAAACTTCCTCCCCCATCTTCCTGGCTACCTTGTCCCTCCCCCCTTATCAGTGCAAGGGAGTGACAGGAGTGAGGGTTGCAGTCCATCTGGCTATTACTCGTTGTCCATGGCAGCTCTTCCTTGAGAAAGAGGGCTTCTCACAGTCTCTCCTTAATGCTGCGTGGTGTCCACCTCACAGGAGGCAATCCTCTTCCTCCTCGTGAGTCCCTTTGGGCCACGGGTCACTTCAGGCTTGTCCCCCACTGATGCTCAGTCTCTCTTCCATCTCGCGTGGGCCTCTGCATATACTGCCACACTCTGGACTGTTTTGACGTTGTTGTGGATTCCCTCAGCTGGCAGGCAATCACCTGCCTGCCATCTCAACCGCATGGGGCTTCAGGGAAAGATCCTGCTTCTGTAGCCTTCTCCCTCTCCTTCACCTCTGTGCCTCTTCTCCCCCTTTTTCTTCTCGGGCAACATTCCTTGTTCTCCTCTCACCTCCCCCTCCTCTAACAGAAATACTCCCCCATATTAAAGACAGGACAGCTCAAAACAAGACAAAACCAAAAGAGAAGAAGAGAACAATTATATCACCTCTTAAACACCTTGATGGCAGAGGCACTGTTTGGCCTGACCC